TAGACACATTTATTGCACGGGGCCATTCTGAAACTAAACTCGGGAGAAAATCATCATCCCTGAATACATGTGAGTTATAAGGAAAAATGCCAGTCTTTTTAAAAGCATTAATGATATTATTTGGTGTCATAGCAGATGGCAGGGCTGTGCCGACAAATCCAGCTATTTCATAAATTGATATAGTTTTCCCTGGATCATCATCCATGAATTGATAGCAGTATTATAAAACTTTTGGAATAGACTGTATAGGCCATCAAGGGGTTGCATACGATGTGTTGAATGCGGAGGTAGTGTCAAAATGTGAACACCATTTTGCTAACTCGAAGACATCTAAACTTATGTAACTCTCATGGTTATCATAAATCAAAAGTGATGGGTTATCCTTTGTGCTGTATAAAAATTTTATAAAATGTTGCATTGTTTGAACAAAGAGTTGAGTATTCATCCAGCCTGATGGAGTTGCTAAACCCAAAGAATTATGCAGACCACCAAACATCATGTGATCGCGGAAATTGACCCGAGGAAATATCAGAACAGGTGGTAAATAATTTCCATCAGCATGGATAATACAACATGTTGTAACGAGAACTCCTTTTTCCGTATTTGTTACTTTACATACAACTTTGGAACCTTTCTCAGCTATTATTTTTCCACTATTTTGAACTGTAGTTTTAGTTTCATCTAAATTATAAATTCTTGACGGATCTCCAAGTTGCGGCTCTTTTTTTAATAATGTTTGATAGTTATCGAAAAAGGCCTCTATATTGTGACGATTAAATGCCGTAGCTCGAGCCGAACTACATCCTTCTGGAGATCAAAGTGACAAATTTGGGTATCTTTTAAAAAATCCTAACAACCAGTCTTCACCTGCTATTTTTTTCTCAACCCATGACACAGGACACTTAATTTCATTAGCAACAGCAGTTTCGTATGCTAGTTTACGGCAGTCTTTTCTTGTCAATCCATAGAACATTTTATAGCACATTTTTAAATAATCGGCAATTGAATTTTCTTGAACATCAGTAAAAACTTTTTGATGGCTGTAGTTTGATGTAAGTTCGAATTCCACACCAGGTGACTTTATAATTTTAATCTTGTGTCTCAGAATCTTTCTTTTAATATCGCATCGATCAGCTACTTTTCTAATACCTCCTTTAGCAATGAATCAATTGCTTTTTTCATATAGATTTCCTTATATGTACCCTTAGACCTTCTTTATATTTCCTAATCATTTTTATATTTTCTGAAAGAATATAAAAGAATTTATATTGCCCAATTTCATCACGAAAACGTAATCTAATCTAATCTATCCAGACAAATTTGAATAGTCTATACATAACCATATGTATAAAGAGATTTATTTAATTACATTTTTATCATAAATACACGCTTAAAATAGAGAGAAAGCATTTTTGGTCGTTTGAAACAAGTGATTAGTGCGAGAGGGAACTCGCTGTTTTGTTCACTCTCGGCGCACCGCAGGCGAGCACACGGACATGGACTCGTGCTTAAGTGTGTGACTATCGGTTTCGCCAGACCATCGTCTGATTCTGTGTCGCCACCGTCAATGCAGAATTCTTAGCCTAGTCAGGAGCCTTAAAAAGTCATGAACCGATCAGAGGGCCGTATTAACGTTAAGACATTACTTAAAACAATTTTGAAATAAGAACGGACTATGAATACCGTCCTTAAAATGCATAGAGATCAGTCATAGCAACATCATTTATTTCTTCGCAATTGAGTTTTGAACGTTATTTTTTACGAGTCGATACCTCGAAAAAAAGGCGTGATTTGCCCATAGTGAGCACATCATGTCAATCTCACCATGAGGCGAAAGACAAGGAGATTTGAGGCACGCGATGTCCAAATTGAAAGGCTCTACCGTATACGATGATTGATTGCAATTTACCTATAGCCGGTATTCATAGTCGGATCTTATATTTGAGATAGTCTTAAATACAGTCTTAAGAATATAAAAGTTTAAATTGCAATATAAGGCTTTATAGATACTCAATACTGATAATGTAAGGAAATGCCTATGTGAACCAACACTAGATATTCGTGTGTAATAATTCATATATTAAAAATGTCATCACTGAACATAGAATCGAACACATCCATAAAATCGAGCGCAACCATGATTTTGACTGGAACAACGTTTCGATTTTAGATGAGAAGAAGAACTATAATAAAAGATTAATTTCAAAGGCAATTTTCATTAAAAAACAAAGAAATATTGTAGTTTAAATCTACAAAATGACATGGATTTATTGAACCTCTTATATCATAAATTGGCCACAAAAGCTTAAAGTTTCCTTGTTTTAAATTTCAAATATTTATTAATAATTTTATATTTAGAAAATTTATTTTTATTTCTGTATTATTGGTTGTGTTCTCACACTTGTATTATTCTTATTGCGTTCTGATCTCACACTCGATAATGAAATCTCTTTGTAATCACATCGTTTATAAGAGACCATCGTTAATCTGGTTTTAATGTAAGTTTTAGATTTAGAATTTATATAATTTTAAATTTTAATCACACACACACACACACACACACACATACCCTTTTATTCTATTGACTCAATTTTAATAAAGTACATCTAACATTGTCAGTTTATATCCGACAAAATATAACAGACAACGTAGAAATTTTCAATTATTGACAATAGTTTAATGATGATTTGACGACACACACACTTGGCGAGTAAACACATTATTTTATATCTCTGTGGATGACTATCAACATTTTTATATTGAAGAGGACCCAAGAAACGAAACGCCTGTATTTAAATTTTTAATATATGTATTATTACACACGAATATCTAGTGTTGGCTCACATAGGCATTTCCTTACATTATTTTTATTCAGTCTTAAGAAGTCATACATAAACCAATCAGAGGACTGTCTTAAGACATTACTTAAGACGGTCTCGAAATAAGAATAGACTATAAATACCAGCCATAGTCAGGTCTTATATTCAAGCTCGCCTTAAATACAATCTTAAGATCAAAAAAATCTTCTTTCTTTTTATTTTTTTGTAATTCGAAGTCTTAAAAATATGTCCCTAAAACGTTGAGAGGAAATTCAACTTGACCGAGCTACAAAGATTTGGAGGACGCAGCGCCCATACGATGCGAGATTATATCCTGCAGACGGACCGTTTGTGTTAAGTAGTATAAAAGCCATGGCATAAAAAAACTTAATCAGTAAAATGTAAGCAATAAGCGAATTGACCAACCACGGTAGAGGTCCGTAAGACCATAACATAAACAATCCAACATGTTAATTTTCTTATATCTTACTGCCTTAAGTTTTTTATGTAGCATGGCCCTTACTCTATGCAGTCAGATGGTGCCATATGTAGCTCAGGATGATGCTTTGTAAAAATGCGTTCGGAAATACATTATCCGGATGCGTACTCTCGTGTATCAACTTATCCTTGTTTAACATTAAGTGAGTAATAAAAATAAAACCATACACGCGGAGGTGATGTTCCCAGCCTAATCTGTAAAATTTTGTTCAAAATTTCCGATATAAGGATTAATGTGTCCTCGAACTCTTCGAGGAAGGTATTTTATGTGGCACTGATATAGCTGACTAAGGATAAATTACTCATTATTCACCTCGTAAATGCACGAGAAACTTTAAACGAGTTTTTCTCGAAACAACTTTTTTCAAATCGGGCGTATATTTTTCTTACGAACTACTGGGCCGACTTGCACTTTGACACATATATAGTGTACATATTAGGCTATCGTTTGACCCTCCAACTTTTTTATATTTTCAAAGTTACTATTTTTCTAGACCGCAAGAAATGAATATTTTTTAGTAAAAATCGAAATAACAATTTGTCAATTTTTTCTCCAATTATGTATTAGAACGATAACTACATTTGTGAAGAATAAAACAAAAAAAATTCGTTTGTTTTAGATTACGAAGACGTCAGCAATCATTACGCCCGATGAAAGTAAATTTGTGAAGCATAATCTGTGTATTTATTTATAACTTTATAATTAATAATAAAAATTTGCTTTATAAAATTTTACTTTTATAATTAACAATAAAAATTTTCTTTGTAAAAATTTGAGATATTATTTCCAATATAGATAAATGTAAAATACGTAACATTAGCTGTATAGATTTAATCATTCTTACAAATTTAATCCCCAAAAATTGTCTTAAAAACGAGTAGTCAAAGTAGAATACCCTCTTAAACTGTAACAACTTTTTACGCGACATAGTTACTTTTAACATAAAAACACGAATATCACGCGTACATCACGCAAACATGTGACTGATGTAGCCTTATCGCGGCCATTACACATTATATGACCATGTGACCGTTTTATTCCTACATTGCGCTATGTAATACATAGGTTTTGGAATCAATTTTTATGTACGGTATATAAAGGAGTCAGCGATCTAATGTTAGATATAAATCTGTCTCTATCCTACACTAACTTTTATAATACTAGATTACGTTATGTTCGAAACCTAAAGCAGGGAGCAGAGAGTCTTGCATAAGTCCGGATCTATGATAGACGTTTTAAACCTTAAGCCGTAAGAAATTGACCAATTGCAAGGAGAATAATTAATTGTGATTCGTCCATTCCTTATAGCTTAAAAATCTATTGTAGATCTGTGCTAACGCATAACACAGGCATAAAAAATTTAACCAATCAGAGTTCTTTATTTCATGAAAAAGAAGAAAACGATAGACTTCAATTGATATATTTTTTTATGCATTACGTGTTATGCATTATGCAAGAGTTTGTGCTCCCTGTCTTATAGGCTTTCTACAATAAGCATTACCTAAGCTTTAAGTCTTAAACTATAAGAAATGAATCAATCATAATCGATTATTTTTCTCACATTTTATTATGATTAGTTAATTTCTTATGATTTAAAACTTAATACTGAGATAATAGCTTATCGTAGAAAACCCATTAAAGTTTGAAGTTCGATCGCGATAAAAAATTTGTTTCTCTTGCAGCTAAGGAAAAAGGATCCACCACATCCGATTAGAGTGGCAAAGACGATCGACGTGATAGCCAGGATCACTTTTCCAGTCGCCTATTTCATGTTCCTCACTTTCTTCTTCATTCACTATAAGGGCACTTCGTAGAATGATATACAACAATCTCCGAGAAGTCTCCTATCACTGGTATGAGCAACAATGAATTTGCAATAGATGACGTTCATGTCATAGAAATCAACTCTACAGTAGATTCGAATCTTTTCTTAAAATTGAAAATATTTCCAAATAAATAAAGATATAATCATATGATTGAAAGATATAATCATTTGTGTCACAATAAAACAATTATCTGATTTTTTTCGGTAAAGAATAACAACACATAATACAAATAAATATATAGATCAAAAATTTCTGAATCATGAATATTACCTAACTATAATAAATGAACGAAATCAAATTAGTTGCAATGGATAGATGGAACATCTTAAGTATAAGAAAATTTTTTTCTGAAGGGAAAAAGAGTCACTAACAAGAATATGCAAAGATACGAAATAAAAGAAAAGGATACCAACGATGGATCGTCTCCAACCATTCTTCATCTCCTCTCACGTGTGATAGTTCTTGGATGCACTCTTCTGTGAAGGAAGTAGCTGAATACGATCGCTTCGCGAGCAACAACCATATACACTTATCTTCATTATTCTTTTCTCTTTCTTACATCTAATAGATAATAGAATGTGTCGCTGGTGAACGCTTTGGTCAAGCAGAAAGAATGACGCTTAGCTTAGTTAACGATGTGATCAAACATACTATAATGTAAGATATATTATAATATCATTACAGATGAACCTCTGTATTCTTAACACTTTTAACTTTTACATTCTTATATGATATGTTTCAAGATGCTCTAAGTACTAAAAATCTATAATTCACGAAATGCTATAGATTTTCAATACTATCAATACATTTCAGAATGTACTCTTATTTTTCTCCTATTTATTTTCATTTTTTAAATTTTTATTGGCATCGCTTCAACATTCATATATTTATTACATGATGATAAAATAGCAAAACTTCTTATATCTGACACTATAAATGGACTAATTATATTTAACTTATACAATCATAAATATAGCAACGGCACTTTTAAAAACACTAGTTTAATTTTAAAGTAAGAGATTCAAATATATTTTCTTGAGTTGAGATGTTATACATGGTGATAAATTAAAAGGAAATATGAAAAAAAACATAGAAATACGAAAATTAAGTCTAAAAATAATCTTTTTAGTGGAAAGATATTTTATTGTCAATAATCTTGGGACAGCGGTTGTAGAATAAAAAAAATACTTAAAAAAAGAAAATTTTTACACTTTGACTAACACATTTAATAGAACTTATGAATTGCATATTTCAAACAGATTCACTAAATGTGTAATTAAAATTTTTTGTAACAGCGAATTCGATTGAATGCACTTAGTGCGCATTGGTGCACATTAAAACTGTCGTACACAAATTGACGCAAATATATGTATTTAATTTAATATAAACATAAAAACGGATGAAAATCTTAACACATCTTATTGTGCTATTAAATAAAATCTGTATTTTATTCAAAATATTTGCATTTTACTATTAGATAAAACGATTTTAATATACAATAGTGCACATTAGTGCATATTAAAATCGTATACTTTATCTATTTTAGTAATATATGCAGTAATACGTCCAAATTTATCAAATTCACTATAAGAAAATTAATTGAACAAATGACTGAGCCAAAAAAATTGCATTGAGCAATAATATACTCAAATAGTAAAATCCATTAAATACTTAATTTGAAAGATATTGCTTTTTATTATAGTAGAATACCAGAAATTTGTTAAATTATTATTAATATTGGGTCGTCGGGAAAGTCCGTGCAGAAAATACGCACGAACTTTCCGGACGACCCAATAAAATACCAGAATTTGTTAAATTTTATTAGTAGAATATCAAAAATATAACAGGAGAAAACTTGCTAACACAATATAATAGAACTACAGAAACAGAATTTAATGAAATAGAATTTCATAATTATTTCATAATTTAAATAATATATTCTATTTAAATTAATATATATTGTACTATTACTACTCTATTTTCTTTTGTAAATTACGTAATTTAAATAATAGATATATTATTAATAATATTAAATCGCTTTATATGTTTGTAATCTCCTAGAACTGTTTTATTTATTTTTTTTTTTCTTCTTTATTTCTCTTATAGTACAATTTTACGTTAAATATACAATTGGGGTGCAGCATAAACCAACACTCTTGTTAGTAAAACTAATCATAAGCTAACTTTTATATAATTTCACATTATTTATAAGTAACTATCAAAATTGAAGGCACTTCCGCACATAGATCTTATATATATGGATGTGCCTTTTTCGTCTTAGATAGAAAGATATATTAAATGCGTTGTATTTTCTATCCTTCGTTACATCAAACAACACGCATGCTCGAAATGACATATGAGAAATGATCTACTATTTCAAATATATCAAGCATTAACATTGTAGCCGATAGATTATAACTGATAAAGTTTTGTAATAATAGGAAAATAAGACGATATAATACGAGTATATTGGAGCTATGTGATGTATATTGGAGAGAGAATGACAATATTTCCTTTCATTCGTAAATACTTAATAAACGATTATGTTTTAAAATGTAATAATAACATAATTGAAGTTTATACATATTATATATTTATATGGCATTACGCCCGAGTTTACGCAGTAGTCTCATTCTCATAAAAGAATAGAAGATATAAGTTGTTTTCCATTTACTTAAATTCTCAGATGATTCTTACTTGTGACGTCATAACTTAGTTGAATGCACGTTTCTTTTGCATTCTGACAAGTGAGATTCAACTGAGCTTTTTAACTATAATATGCAAGATCGAGACCAGTGCTTTAGTGATCGAGTGCTTTAGTGAGTCTTATAAACTCATTTCAAAGTGAGATTATGAACCTATGTTGACATATGATAACTTCTTACCAAAATAAGTAAGTAGTGATGTCATTAACCCTTACCCTACAAGAATACAATTTCATACCTCATACAAACGGGGGCACTAGAATCCGTCCGTTTTTTTCACCTGTTCAAATTCAAAAAATCTCTAAAAATTTACCAACTTTCTATTTACTTTCAACTTTCTAGAATAAATATTGGAATTTCATTTTGGAAAATAATAAAATGTACAATAATATAATTTATAATTACCGAAAGACTCAAAGAAACTTACACGAACAGGGTCACCATCGCTCGGGTCACTAGTGACTCGTCTTGTAAGATAAGGGTTAATCTGAGTATAAAATATCACTTCAGACTCAGTTTTACTTGTGTGTAAATGTAAGGCAACTATTATATATATTTACTGATTCTATATATTAATTCGGTCTCCTGATTATAGGCACAAAGCGTATCCATATTTATAAGATCTATGCTTCTGCATTTACAGAAAATTACCCTCTTTCCTCAAAACTCGCATTACGTATTTGCGCCTTGTGGAACAGTATAAAATATACGTTAATTAAATCAACAAAAGATGTTTTACTTGAAATACAAGAATTCTTTAAATTCTTATTACATATATACATTTCCCTACTAACGTTAAATATTCCTAAAATATTCATTTAAAAAATGCCTAAAAAAACGTTCGAAGAGTATTCTCAAATATCTCAAAATATTTATGGAATATAACAGCAATATTCAAATATAGGTTATAAATTGTATTTATACAGGATGTTTCCTTTAACTTGATCATTCTGTTTAAAATATCTCCGTTGTTTTTGATACAAAAAAATACTACAGGGGATCTTGTTCAATTCGAAGGGGCACATATTATAATAAATAAAAAAGTTTTTTCAAGATCATATTTTTTGAAACTTTAAGGTCACCTCTACTTTTTTAAATAGAATTGTATAATTTTTTTTTACAAAATATGATTCCTATAATTATTCTGCATATAAAAATATTTATAAAGATAGTGATAGCAAAAAACCAATAGTATATAAGATATTTTATATTTTATTCTGGCAAATACAGAGTTAGGCATCTAAAACAGGTCATCTGAATAACTCGTTTGTTTTTAACAATAGAAGGAAAAATGCCAAACAAAAGTTGCATAATTTCAAGGGGAACGTATTTTGGTCATATTGTCTTTCTTCTAGGTGGAGGCATTAAAAAGATATGAAAATCACTTTCATTTTTTTAAAGAGAATCATATGATTTTTTTTTACACAATATGATTTCTCTAATTATTCTGCATATAAAAATATTAAAGAAGTGATATCAAAAAACTAATAGTTTATGAGATATTTTATATTTTATTCTGTCACATGTTGTCATAAAATAATAAATATCTCGTAAACTATTGGTTTTTTTTATAATCGTACCTTAATACTTTTATGAACAGAATAATGAAATGAATTAATTAGTGGAAATAAAACACAATTGCTTTAAAAAATATGTACGCAAAATGGATAATTTTTTAAATAAGCAACTATGTGTTTTCTTTCCACTAATTGATTCATCTTATTATTGTATTCATATAAGTATTAAGGTACGATTGTCAAAAAATTAATGGTTTACAAGGTATTTAATATTTTATACGTATATCAATATGTAACAGAATAAAATTAAAATATCTCGCAAACTATTGGTTTTTTTTATATCATCTTAATACTTTTATATGCAAAATAATTAGAGGAACTATATATTGTGTAAAAAAATCATGCAATTCCTTTTAAAAAAGTGGAGATGTCCTTGAAATTTCAAAAAATATAACCTTGAGAAAAATGTTTTGCTCATCATAATATATGTCCCTTTAAATCGAACAAAATTATTTGTGGTATTTTCTCGTATCATCAAAAATAATAAAGACATTTTAAATGATCAAATTACAGGAAATACTCTGTATATAGTTGTTACATATTTCGAGAATGTTGTATTGTATATAACACTTTTTAGGCTTTCACGAATATTATCTTCAAAGATACCAGAAGGTTTGCGGGTATCGCCGTGTATTTATCCATTGCTAATGCAATTTCGTAAACTTTGTCGTTTACTTTATCAGGGCGAAGAACGCATTGATATTGAGCTGATGCTCCGGAGAACTCTCTTTATGTAGACGCTGTAGAAGGAGGCGAAAGTATATTGAGGAAGAGTGGAGCGGATCTTCCTTGTCTCAGAAAATTTCTGAGCAAGTATAGAGAGACTCTAGAAATACAGAAACATCCAAACAATTTGAACAGAGACTCAGGTTATAATGTAAGTAGGATATGGAAGACTGCTCTCTTGACAAGATAAGAAAATCCCCCTCTTCCCTTCCTCAACATGCCCTCGCTCCCCTCTACAGCATCTACAAAAAAAGTTCTCCGGAGGAGCAACTGATTGCCAGTATCAGTATATCATAATGCGCTCTTCACCTTAATGAAGTGAACGGCAAGGTTCACGAAACGTCAGCATTAGCAATGTTCTGTATATATTCCGCAAAATTTTAATTATTCCAGAAATTTTAAATCCGGTCATCCCTGAATCACTTTGTAATCAACTTGTATGTATGTACTACCCAATAAACATTAAGTCGTTTTCAAAACGACTAAAAGACATCATAAAATTCTGTGAGACGTCCGAAAAAATTGTACTGAAAGATCTCTTTAAGATGTTTTTAAGACGTCTTATGTCTGTCTTTTAGAAGCCTTATTATTACAGTCTTTTAGACATCCTATCCTTATAGAAAAGTACTACTGAGCACTAAGAGTATTTTGAGGCACTACTGTACTACAGTATTACAGCACTAGTGTGCTGTAATAGTGCAAAAGTGTTCAGTAATGCTGAGTAGTGTTAAGA